CACTTCCGACCGCGTGTAAAACGGAGTTACGGTTCAGAAGTTATGGTCGAAACAAATGCTGGTTTGCTGTCATGTTCGCCAGGCAAACAGAAAGTTCTAAAACGCGTGAAAAACACTGTTTTGGAAGTAGCAAAAGTTGCATATGTTCTCCAGGCGAACAGGACTTCGCCATGCGAATACTGGGACCCATTTTTGTCTATGTAAGTGATTTTTCAGCATTTTTTTAGGGTATGTTGTTTGGGAACTTTTTACCCCAACTTCATCAAACATATTCTTGAGTAGATTTAGCTTAGAAACAACATTGGAGGGTGCATCTTGACGATCCGGAGTCGAATCCACTTCAATTGGAATTGATAAACCGTGAGATTTGTGTTCTTCTTCCTTCCTCTCTATGTATTTTTCATTTGTTGGGGTTTTGTATGTAAGTTTATCTTGATTGTATGTATATTTATGAATCTTTGTATAAAATCTCTTTTACAACTCTTTATCGATGGTTATCTTGATTTTTTACTTAATGGATTTGGATTGCTATAGACATATATTGTTCGAACTCGATCTAAGATGAACATCTATTAGATTCTAAATGCTAGAGATAGATTTAGGACTAATATTCACGTGGGTATCGATTCTTAATGCTCCGTGTTGTCGAGTTGTGTGAAAGATCAACAATGAGACGATACAATTGATCTCTCGACTTTGCGTTAGAGATAAGCTCTATTGTGACCGATACGTGATGATATTGACGAGCGAATTAGGTTGCGTGCATTTGATCCATATATTTTTTTAGTACATGATGGGTAGAACGAAATACAACTCCTGACGAGTTTTCTCATTTCTTAAGAATGTCCTTATTTTCTTGTTTTATGTTTTTCCTTTTGAATTTTTATCTCAAACCATTCAAACCCAAGCTTAGAGACGTAGAGATTGTCAAACGTCATTCTTTCCCTCACACTGATCCCTGTGGAGACGATAAATCCCGGAGGAAATTCTTCCGAAAATAATATTTTTGCTTGCTGCTTTACCGCTTCAACAGTGGACAATATCCAGTTGAAGTAAAATGAGGAGGCATTCCCCAAAGAAAACCAGGAGGCATACTATATTGTGGTTCACTTGTTGGCGCCACTGGTGTAACACCCCATTTAAATTATTTAGTCATTTTATACTTTTTTGTACGTGTATTGGTTGTGATGTCCTTAATAAGGATATGATGTTAGGGGCGAGGGTGAGAGTTGACCTTAGTTGGGGTAAGGTGGACCTATAGTAATAATACTAACCATTTAATAACAATAATGAAAATATTATGGTTATTGATATTATTATTTAATTATTATTGATAATAATATTAATAGGATGATAGTTATTACTATTATTATTATTATTAATATTATTGTTATTATTATTAATTGGATTAAATGAGTTAAAAATCTTGTTAAAGGGTTAAGAGAAGGTTAGTGGAAGAGTTAGACAGTTAACACGTAAAAGAGGAAAAAGACAGAGAAAGGAGAACTAGGGCAAAGGAACCAATTCTTGATTGTTATCAAGGAAAAAGCTTCAATCCAAGGTAAGGGAAAAATGAATTTCAATATGGGCGAATTCACATGAGAGGTTAGTGAGAGGTCTTTTCTCTCATAGGATTTATGTCTATTTTTGGTTTCCTTGATCTGAATTTTGTAACATGATGAATTCCCTAAAATTACTGTTATTGTCGAATGATTATTATATGATGATTATGTGTATGAATCTGGGATTGATATGAAAATTACGTGGAAATTCATTGATGCTGAAATAAAATCAAGATAGGTAACAGATCTGGGAAATAAGGGTTAGGGGTTAATGAGATTGAATTTAGATGCAAGAAATCTTGGAAGAATAAAGGGTAGATGAAGTATAGCGAAGATATAGAGGATTAAATGACATAAAAACTGAGTTCTAGGATGAATTGGGTGGTAGAATGATAAGCATTGAGTGGAAATTTGTGAAGGAGATGAAATCTGGGTTTTTTTGACAGATCTGCTGGTCATACGCATAATGGGGGTGTCCTTACGCATATGGGGGACATACCCAGGGCCGTACGTGTATCATACGTACCCCGTCCCCAGTGCCAACACGGTCATCTAGTGATACGCGTATGGTACGCGTATGGGGCTTGGCAATACGCGCATGGGGGTAGCCATACGCGTAAGGAGTGTCTCTGAGGGATTTAGGGAGGTGACAGCCTCTAGTCATATGCGTAAGGGAGGTCCAATACGCGTATGATAACACGCATTACGCGTATGGACCATGTTGGTACGCGTATAGGCAACATAGGATGACTTTTCCCCAATTTTTGTGATTTTTGTCCAGTTCCGCTTGGAATGCATTTCCGTTTAATTGATAGGATTAGTATGACTAAAATGAACCTAAGGAAGGTTAGTAATGAATTTAATTAGGGAGAATGTGAAAATTTATGTGTTTTCCCTTAGGGGTGTGATTGATATGTGTGGGCCAGGACCGTCCAGTGTGGACGATCTGGTGTGATGATAGTAATTCCCGAGAGGATTACGGTGAGTGGATGGCTCGTGTGGATCATTGATAATCGTCAATTATGCTTGAAATTATTATTATATTTGCATAATGGCGTTGTCATGCATTTCATGTCATGTGTCTTGTGGAGATGACTAGGTGGGAATCCATGATGGGTGCCTAGTTCATCCAGACTTCATGTGGAATTCGTTGTGGAGATAAGTTGTAGTTCAGAGGAACGTATACGACTTATCCGGATTTCGACGGGAATCGGGTTCTAGGGTGAACTGTACGTATTTGTGTTGGTACCACATGTATTATGTCGAGTCAGTGAGTCACATTACATATTTATATTTGATTATGGGCTATTAATGCCGAGTGATTGAGATGGCACGTGTATGTGCGTTGCAGGTGTATGATTGTGTGTGTGGTGTGTAACTACTCTTTAGCGTGTGTATTTCACCGCTTATTTATTGAATGTAGTTCTCACCCCTTTTATGTTTGTTGCACCTGTGTTCCTTGGGGAGTGCAGATGACCAGGTACCTGAGTAGTGTTTAGAGTGTGTTGCTATTTGATCGAGTCCTAGGAGTCGCTCTGATACGTAACATGGGATGACGGAATTACGTTATATTTTGCTTATTTTCTTGATTAATTGTTATGTATCTTTTATTTGTTGGATTAATGATGTATAACCACCGGTTGTGGGGATTATGTTTAAACATTGATTTTATTCCGCTATTTTATTGAATGAACTTGTTGAAGTATTGTGGAAAGCATGAAGTGACTTGATACTTCATTGAATGAGAAAAATGTCTATGTGACATCCTAGGTGTTTTGAAAACTCTGATGTATTTTCTTTAATATTCCTATAATACGCGTACGGGGTAGAGTGGGATGTTGCAACTGGGATCAGCGCGGATACAATTTCTGAGATTACAGTCCTCTAGATATGCTCTTGTCAGTTGTGTGACGATTAATTATGGGCAGCCACCAATGCTTCCATCATACCATTGAGTCTTTCCAAGCTTTCTTTCAGTGTTGTGACTTCTTCACAGAGTGCCCTGTTTTCTTGCTTTAACTGGTCCATTATTTGCTGATGGCCTGCTCGAGTATTGTATCGGTGAGGAACGTCGACGTTGACATTCACTTCACTAAGAAGAGGAGTGGTGTTTGGTCGATTGACAAATTGATGTTATGATGGAAGCAGCCAAGGAGGCTTCGCACGCGATGGTGGAACAAGTAGCTCTAGATCCAGCCATTTCCACATATCAAAGAAGTCAGAGATAGGGAGGATTGAAGACTTAGAGAATTAATAAACTACGATAGATGTAGAGTTCGAACCAATCGATTGCAACCAAATCTTGTGTTCCATTTTCTAGATCTCCATTCAAGTGTCGAAGCGAATTTCACACTTGAAAGTTGAATGCAAAGGTCTAGAATCGTAAAAAAAAAAAGATGTAGGAATCGAAAGTCATTTCCCACAGACGGTTCCGTTTTTTCGTTGCGGAACCAAAAATTGAAGAGATTGCAGAAACTACGGCGGAGTAAAGCTTCCTAGGTGATTCAGTGATGCGGCACCTGGATCAGAGGTTGTGATCTCGATGCCTTTGGAGTCGGTGAGGTTAATCTTGAATCTTTGTTACTTATCTTCGGTACGACACACCTAGAGGATACCTGCATAGTTAGCACTTCAACGTCTTAGTCAGTTAGGATTCAAGATAATCGTAATGAAAGTGGATATTAAAGATTGTGTACGTAAAAAAGTCTTATCTTATTGAATCTTTAATCGATACAAATGAAGAGTTTTTGTCACCTATTAATATCCCATCAATTCAACCAAAATCTTATATAGATCGAGAGATTTCATAAAATTTAAGAACATTTGATAAGATCACCTGAGTTTTTTCTAATTTAATTTGATGTCTTATGTTCAATAGGGTTAAATTTTGAAAAGAAATTTTTGTCTATTGTAGTCTTATTCCACTCAAATGATTATATTTTTACTGTTGCACGCTGAAAATACTTATTCCATACTAAAAAGATAAATGCATAAACAACTAGTAAAAAATGGCAATTAATAAATAAAACTTTGCAATTAAAGAAATTATATATATATATATATATATATATATATATATATATATATATATATATATATATATATATTGTCTATTTTCTTCCTACCAAAAAAGCATTTATTTTACTAAAATACAGAAAAAGTATCTAACCTGCCTAGCTTGATATGGGGGGTGTAATAGGCTGTTTAAGATGCTCACGATTTCAGCCTCTAAGAGTGGCTTTTATTTTCTTCCCTTTTGACCTTTTTATATATATAGTAAATCTTTGATCCCAATAAGATAATAATAATTCAAATCACAAACTTTTCCACACCCTTTAAATATAACAATCTTAGTATAAACTTTTGTCATTCACTCACACCCTCTTTTCTCTTTCACACTTTACTCATTTCTAATTTCCAATTCTCAAATTCATCAAAATGATGAGTTTTCTCACTTCTATCTTCAAGCTATTATTTTTTTATGTCATTATTTTCCTCCCAACACTTGTTTCATGCGATTCATCTACATGTGAAACACAACCAAACAAAGAAAATAACAAACTAGCCCTTCATTACAAACTTGGTTCAATTGCTTCTATCCTTGTTTGTGGTGCTCTTGGTGTAAGCTTACCATTATTAAGCAAAAGAATTCCAATTCTAAGTCCTAAAAATGACATATTTTTCATGATTAAGGCCTTCGCGGCCGGGGTCATTTTGGCGACCGGTTTTATTCATATACTTCCCGAAGCATTCGAGAGTTTGAACTCACCTTGTATTAACGAAAAGCCTTGGGGAGATTTTCCGCTCGCCGGACTCGTTGCTATGTTGTCTTCGATCGGAACTTTGATGGTCGATTCGTTTGCCTCGAGTTTTTATCAAAGGAGACATTTTAACAATTCTTCTAAACAAGTTTCTCATGAAGATGAAGAAATGGGGGATGACCATGTTGGTCATATACATGTTCATACACATGCTACTCATGGTCACACTCATGGATCAACTAACTCTTCTCATGATGTAATATCATCCGAATTAATTCGGCAACGGATTATATCACAAGTAAGATTAATGAAACCGTTGCTAAAAGTTATATTTATTTGGTCTAAATTTGAATCAAATTTATGTAATTTTTACTTGTATAATTTTTTTTTTGTGCCTAATTATTGTTCAATTTGGTTCTTTTTTTTAGGTGTTGGAGTTAGGAATTGTGGTCCATTCAGTGATCATTGGAATGTCTTTAGGTACTGCACAAAGCATTGGTACCATAAAGCCTCTCCTAGTGGCCTTGTCTTTTCATCAATTTTTTGAAGGAATGGGGCTTGGTGGTTGCATATCTCAGGTATTTTAATTCTTAAATAATATATTCGAATTATTCTTTAAATACATATTTAACGCGATTATATAATATCAGCTGTCAGAATCGAATTATACAGTTGAACAAGGTGAATATTAGAATCTCTTTTGAGAAGAGATTATATTTTCAATTTAGATTTACTTTCAATGTTTGTTGGACTTTTTCATTGTTGCATCATCAAATCATGTAAGGTATTATGAAAGTAGTGAAGAAATGGAGTTAAAATTAAACTTGTTAAAATGGAAAAAGTGAATTGCGTGTGAATGTTTGTAGTTTGGAAAGTAGGTTTCAAAGTGTTGCCATTATGACAACATCTTCAACTATTCAATAGTACAAATTAACAAAAATAATCAAAAGTTCTTTTACCCTATGAACAGAGAAAAGCCAAAAAGTCACTAGTAAAATGAATTGAGACCCTTTTTCTAGATTCTGATAAAAAAAATTAAAATGCTCACTTAAACTGAAATTATTAGATGATTAGGTAGAATTCGACTAATCATTTTTAATGATTTTTCCGAGATGATTAAGAAGAATTCGATTGGATATTTTTAATGAATTATCTAGATGATTAGATAGAGTCCGACTAACTATTTTTAATAAATTTACCGGTTGATTAAGGAGAATTCGACTGATTATTTTTAATAAATTTATTGTGAATTTATCATTTTTAATGAATTTATTATAAATTTATCAGACGATCAAGAAGAATTTGGCGAACCAGTTTTTAACGAATTCGAACTAATTTGCAGGCGAAATTCGAGTCTAGGTCAACAGCAATTATGGCTACATTTTTCTCCCTAACAACACCAATTGGGATAGCAATTGGGATGGCAGTATCAAGTGGATACAAAGAGAATAGTCCAACTTCTCTAATAGTTGTAGGTGTTCTAAATTCTGCATCAGCTGGAATTTTGATTTACATGGCATTAGTTGACCTATTAGCTGCAGATTTTATGAGTCCAAGGTTACAAAATAATTTGAAGATTCAAATAGGAGCAAATATTTCACTTCTTTTAGGTTCAGGTTGCATGTCTCTATTGGCTAAATGGGCCTAGAATTTTAAGAGTTTCAGATTCCTTTGAGGATATTTTGATTAGTTTGTTATTTATTTTTCTTTACAAATTAAGCACTTAGAAGTAAGCCAGAAATGCAGTATATGCGCTTATTGAATTTAAGGGTCTTTAACAAAAGAAACAAATGGTGGGAAGGGATAGGATGCTTTTTCAGTCAAGTTCTTCAATAATTGATGATGGGGAACAGAATCCTAAAAATCCATTAATAATTCAAATTTTGAATAAGTACTTTTTTTAAAATGATAAACAGTGTACTATAAATATACCAATTAAATTAATAATTTAGATTACATTAAAATGGAATGTAAGATGATAACAAGTTGCAAATGAAAAAGTGATTTAGTAATAAAAGAGTGTTTTAGTAAAAGTATTATAAAATTTTCATTAATAATTTTTTTATTAATATATGGGAATTGATCCAATGAATAATTTATTTTGAAATAAAAGAGTATTTTATGTAGTTACGGCACTTGGAAGGAATAGGGATCGAAATCGGTCCTTTAGCAACTGCTTGATCGAAAATTCAAGCTTATAAATATCTCAACTACATGGTTGAGAAGGATCACTTTCTACATATTCAGAATCCAAAACATCAGTAAGGTTCATACCATTGTACTTACCTCAAGTACAATTGATGTCTACCGTAAGATCGATAAAACTGACATCCACCATACATTCATCTGAAACTCCAATTGCCCAAATCACTCTTCAACAATCGTGAGAAATTATATTGGAGATGCATGAAATTTATTATAGGGTATTCCTATGTTTTTAGGGTATTTTGTTTTTTTCATTATGTTTATTATTTTGTAACTGAGTCTTTCACAATAAATTATGTCGCACATCTCTTAAAACTGTCTTTTACAGGCATAAAAATGACATTTGACTAAAATTCAACACAGGTTTATTTGAGCCAATTAGTTTATGTCATGAAATAAGAAATTCTAGAATCCATGATCTTGATTATGCAAGTCTTTGATTAAAATCACGAATTTTGTCATTCCCCAAAAGTTGGGTTCGAAAAATATGACTCAGGTCATGAAAAGTCTTGATTTGAATCACGGGTGAGTTTGAAAATATGGAATCTCATTCTGGAAATGTGCTTTGGATCACGCCCACACTTGATTCAAATCATAATTGTGTTTTGATTCAAATCAAAAGTTGTTTGATTTGAATCGTGAACTGATCTTTGGTTTTTAAAATGGGCTCTTGAAACATGATATGAATCATTATAAAGTGTGATTTAATTCACATGTCTTAAACCATTATTCAAATCATCATAACGAAATTCGAAGATTTTCTTTACATGATTCAAATCACTCCCTCGCTAGTTTTGCATCATTCATTATGTCTTTGACTCAAATCATATGAACAATATTGTTGTAAATATGCCTTAAGACCTTTGTTAATGAAGAGAAAGAAAATATATTTTGGAGATTGCATTTACTGTGAAAATCAGAAGTTTTAGAAAGTTGAACAAAAAGTCAATAAAGAAAAGAAAAAACGGTCGGTTAATAGTGACGCCCGTACGGTGAATAGTGGTGTTTGTACGGTGAATAGTGATTTCGAGTTTTCGGGCTTTTTTCTATTCGGTCCATGGATCCATGTGATTTTAGGCTTTGTTTGTTGGGTATTTGCTATTATAAATATGTATCTCTTATATGTTTGGTGTGTGACAATCTTAAAGTTTTCACCAACAACGAAAACCAATGGTTTAAAGGTATAGCATAGGGTTTCAGCTATGCAAAAAGAAAACCTTGGATTACACATTGGGTTTGAGTGATTCATATATTGAGAGTTGGAGAGGTAGGGAAACACTTGGGTAGAAAATAGGGTTGTTCTTGAGAACCTGAAGGCGAATTTTATTTTCTTGTAACTCATATTTAATCTCTTGTAACAACTTTTTGAGTATAGTGACTTGGAGAGCTGCTCTCTCCCCCAGAGTAGATCGTTTAATCAAACTGGGTAAACAAACCTTCGGTTTTTTTTTCTTTCCTTATTCTGTTATATTATCTGTGTACGGATTATTATTACTGAAGATCATTTATTTTAGTTGCTATTGTTCTTTGCCTTACAAATTGATATTGAATTTTTTCGTAATTCACAGCAAGACTCACAACAAGTGGTGCAGTGAGCATGGAGCAAAGACATATTGTTGACAAGTGAGGACCATGGTTAGTAGATGGCAAATCGAAAAATTTTCCGGTAACAACGACTTCGGGTTGTGGAAAATTAAGATGCAAGCAATTTTTATTTAAGATAAGTATATTGATGCTTTAAAGAGTGAAAAATTGATGCATGCATGGCTTACATAGGTACATAAGACTGAGATGATGGATAAGGCAAGGAGTGCCATTATCTTGTGTCTCGGGGATAAAGTTCTAAGAGAAGTCGCCAGGGAGAAAACTAAGGTTGCTACGTGGGCAAAAATTGAATCATTAGATATGACAAAGTCTTTGCCTCACAGGTTGTATCTGAAACAATAACTCTATTCATTTCAAATGGTGGAGAATAAATTCATAGTTGAACGGCTCATAGAATTTCACAAGATTATTGATGATCTTGAGAATATTAAAGTGAATATTGATGATGAGGACAAGGCTTTTCTCCTGTTAAGTTCATTACCTAGATCCTTTGAGCACTTTAAAGATGAAGTCTAGACGGCGGTGAAATTCAAAGAATTTTCAAAGTCGAAAGATTTGAAAATTGAAGATAATGGTGAAGGCTTAAATGTGTCCAGAGGAGGGTGTACAGGGATGCCCAAATCAAAGAGATCTAACAAGTCAAAGATAAAATGTTTTAATTGTCAAAAAATCGGTCACTTTAAAAGGGATTGTCCTGAAAGAAAGATCAATGAAGATGATATTCAAGTTGTAGTTGCATTGGGTGAAGAAAGTTATGAGGATGCCGAAACACTAGTAGTATCGAGTTTGAAAACTGAAGATAGTTGGGTCATTGACTCAGGTTGCTCTTATCACATGTGTCTAAGAATAGAATACTTTGAAACTTTGAAGATGATGCAAGGTGGAGTAGTTCGCCTTGGTAATAATAAGACATGCAAGGTTCATGGTATTGGTATGATCAGATATAAAATGTTTAATGATCGTGAACTTCTTATTCACAATGTGAGTATATTCCATAACTCAAGCGAAATTTGTCATCTATAAGTATGTTTGATGATCTAGGCTATTGTACTAGAGTTGAACCTGGAGTGTTGAAGATTTCGCGTGATGAACTGATTATTTCTAAAGGGTCTAAAATATGTGGTCTATATATTTTACAAGGTTCAAATGTTATTATTCATTCATCGTTAACTAGTGGAGGCTTTCATGACAAGGAAGAGCTATGGGATTTGAGTTTAAGGCGTTATGAATGCCTTGAGAAAGTTTTAAAGGAGTACAATGAATTTTGCAGAAATTAAGGGATAAAAATGCATGTTACTACTGAGTTGTTATTGAGTTTTTAGGGAAGAGCTAAGGTTAAAATAGCTTACTTGGTTGGTAGAGAACTTCTTCTGAAGAAGAATAGTGAAAACCAAGGGAGAAACCTGGGAGAAACTATAACAGAGAAAACTCAGTTTGAGGTGGAGTTTCCTACTATGGATGCTAGCAGTAGTGAGGGAACGGTTACAGAGATCTCTGATTATCATTTGACTCAACAAGATAAGGAAGATTATTGTAGCATCTCAAAGAGACGGTTATGCTAGCCTTGGATATTATGTATTTAATGTGGCTGAAGGACTACAAACTAAAAGAAGAAAAACCTTCAGGGAGGCATTTGAAAATAGGTGGAGTCAAGGGTGGTTGAAAAATCATACTTGTAGGCTTGTTAAATTACCTAGGCAAAAAAGGGTAATTGGGAACAAGTGGATGCAAGTTGCAAGATCAAGATTCAAGGGTTGCTTGAATTTGATCAAAGTTATTGATTAAAGTTTCAACTTGGTAGAGAGCAGTAATGTTGTTGATTGTTAAATTGGTATCAACACGGTTTAAAGTCAAGGTGGATATTATGGTAAATAGGCCTTAAAACCTCTGTTGATGAAGAGAAAGAAAACATATTTTGAAGATTTCATTTACTGCAAAAATCAGAAGTTTTAGAAATTTGGACGAAAAGTCGAAAAAGAAAAAAAATTGATCGCTGAATAGTGTCGTCCGTACGGTGAATAGTGGTGTCCGTACGGTGAATAGTGATTTCGAATTTTCCGGCTTTTTTCGATTCGGTCCATGGACCCATGTGATTTTGGGTTTTGTTTGTTGGGTATTTTCTATTATAAATATGTATCTCTTATATGTTTGGTGTGTGGCAATCTTAGAGTTTTCACCAACAAGGGAGACCAAGGGTTTAAAGGTATAACATAGGGTTTTAGCTATGCACAAAGAAAACCTTGGATTACACCTTGGGTTTGAGTGATTCATATATTGAGAGTTGGAGAGGTAGGAAAACACTTGGGTAGAAAATAGGGTTGTTCTTAGGCGCCTTCAGGGTTGTTCTTGAGACCCTGAAGACGAATGTTATTTTCTTGTAACTCATATATAATCTCTTGTAACAACTTTCGGAGTATAGTAAATTGGAGAGCTACTCTCTCCCCCAGAGTAGATCGTTTGATCGAACTGGGTAAATAAACCTTTAGTTTTTTTTCTTGCCTTATTTTGTTATATTATCTGTGTACGAATTATTATTGCTGAAGACCATTTATTTTGGTTACTATTGTTATTTGCCTCACAAATTGATATGGAATTTTGTCGTAATTCACAACAAGATTCACAACAAATATTATACTATATTTGTGCACAATCTCTAGCACATATAAAAACTGTTTTCTCTATATTTTTAATACTTTTTTTTATTAATTATTTATACAAAAATCTCTCTCAGATAAACATTGAAGAAAATTCTTTTTGAATGTTAATAATCTCTTGAATGATAAAAGTTATTTTGTGTAAAATTTTCTAAAACTCCATCTTCTACCTCAAACTCTACAC